TCCTGAGGAAGATTAGCCCTGAGCTAACATCCATGCCAATCCTCCTCTTTTTGCTGAGGAAGACTGGCCCTGAGCTAACATCTGTGCTGATCTTCCTCCACTTTATATGGGACACCGCCACAGCATGGCCTGACAAGCGGTGCATCAGTGGGCGCCCAGGATCCAGCCCGGGCTGCCAGCAGCGGAGCGTGCACACTTAACCACTATGCTGCAGGGCCGGCCCCTATATGGAATTCTCATACTTGAAGATTCCAGTCTTTGGGAGGAAAGTTTCAGACCTTATTTTTTTTTAAATGCCTAACATTTTAGGACAAATGGCATAGGGAAGAAGCTTAGTATATTTTATATGCTTTTTTAATTAGCAGAACTTGAATTTATTTTTTTAAAACCTCACTGTTTACCATATTTTTATGTTTCAGATATTGTTATGGAACTTTATCAAAGGAAGCCGCATGCCACAGAACAGAAAGTGTTAGTTGTTTTGTGGCATCTCTTAGGGAACATGACAAATAGTGGCTCTCTGCCCGGAGCTGGAGGAAATATACGAACAGCCACAGCTAAATTATCCAAAGCACTTTTTGCACAGATGGGTCAGAATCTATTAAATCAGGCTGCGTCTCAGCCACCACATATCAAAAAGAGTTTAGAGGAATTGCTGGATATGACAATTTGAAATGAATTATGAATCTTTGATGAAATATGATATGATGAACAAAACTGTTTACATGATGACAAATGGAACTTCTTTAGAGTCACATTTTCAGTGCCTGCACTTCTCATCCAGTAAATTAAGTCAATGGCTATTTTTATTTGCAGCCTATGAGTACACATCTGTCCTGTATCAACCCTACCACTTGTTCCCATCACACAGAAACCTAAAATAATTAATGTAACCTAATATTCATGAATTCTGAGGCACATGGAATGAATCCAATTTTAATATTTTTGAGAAAAGTCCTGCTCATTTGCACTCTTCTATAGAAACTGCAGTTTGTTGCCCTCTATGTACAATTAGATTTGTAATTAAAAATATACTTTTTATTATGTAATCATGTTCTGCTATGTCTCATTACTCAGCCTTATTTTATGAAGTGGACGAAAAGTCGTTGAACTATGTTATCACAAACTGTTTTGTGTGCTGTTTGTGAAAAACATGTATTTCTGAAATCAGTCTGCTAACATGATTGTGCAGTATTAGCTTGCTTTTGCTGCTGTGTTGATGTGATATATTCGCTTCCTATTTGGGTTTAATCATCTACATAATTGTAAAATTTGAGAAGTTATAATAAAGCATGATGACCAAAGTTTTAGGAAACATTTAAATACACGTTTAAGAAAACGTGTGGAATGTAACTTCCCTCTTTTTGTGTGCAAACACTAAATTTTATTTCTATATGTCCTGACATTTATAAAGGTGTTATTTTGCTGCCCAGTTGTGTAATTCTCAAAAATAGTGCCAGGTCTTCTATAGCTTTTCTCAAAATTCTTGGGCTACACGTACTGTATGCATCTTAAAAGAGAAAAGGAATGTTATAAAATAAAAGGATTTATTTCTGTAGATGTGTGAGAGGTGTCCTATTTTTCCAACTTCCATATATGTTAAAATGAAAAATATATATATTATAATATTGACCTATCACTTTCATTTGATATACTTGATATAATATTGACCTATGTCTGTTGACTTACCAGCAGACTTGGGTTATAGTTCTGGCTTTACAGGAAATTAGCTGTGTGACCTTGAGCAAGTCCCTCACCAGGTCTAGGCCTCAGTTTTCTCACCTCTAAGATGTGAGGGAGGGCTAGATGACTTTTAAGGTCCCATCTTGTTCCCATGTTGTAGTTTCCTCTGTGATGACTTGATTACAGTTGTGAACTACCTTCATTTTTTTCACTTTTGTGTCACCAGTTTTGTAATGTATTTGGCTGCTTTTTAAATTGTGATTCTTTGTATTAATCTGTGACTTCTGAGAAAAAAGCAAAAAAATGGGATTTACATTTGAAGCTAAGATAAAAGAGTGAAGACTTGGTTACTTTTTCTATTTATAGGCACTGTTTTGTAGTTACATACATACTTGTAAAATACTATATCTTCTAAGTATATTTTATTATGTTCCTGTAGTTTAGGTCTGAAGTTGGCAAACTTCAGAAGTTCCCTTTTTCTGTAAAGGTCCAGAAAGTAAATATTTTTGGCTTTGTAAGCCACCAAGAGATTGTGGCATTTTCTTTGTTTTTGTTTTTTTAAAACTCTTTAAAAGTGTAAACAGCATCCTTAGCTCAGGCCAAACAAAAACAGGCCTCTGTCATAGTTTGCCAGCACCTGGTTTAGACTATTTTGACCTCAACTGTAAATCTGACATGGTCATTAAATTTTGCCTCAACCCTTTATGATATGCATCATTGAAACAGTAGTTACAGATTCCAAGTTTTATTAATTTTGACCACTGCGCTTGTTATTGCAAATGTGCCTTCTAAGTTTGCATTGATCGACTGTTGAAAATGTTGAAGGTAAATTTTAAATTTCAAAGATAAGAGAAGACCATTACTTTATGTATAAGCTTTATTATCCCTTATTTTGTTTTTTTTGTTTTTTGTTTTTTTTGTGTGAGGGAGATCAGCCCTGAGCTAACATCCATGCCAATCCTCCTCTTTTTGCTGAGGAAGACCGGCTCTGAGCTAACATCTATTGCCAATGCTCCTTCTTTTTTTTTCCCCCCGAAGCCCCAGTAGATAGTTGTATGTCATAGTTGCACATAGTTGCACATCCTTCTGCTGTATGTGGGACGCGGCCATGAGGCCCGAGAAGCGGTGCGTCGGTGCGTGCCCGGGATCTGAACCCCGGGCTGCCAGTAGCAGAGCGCGTGCACTTAACCGCTAAGCCACAGGGCCGGCCCTATTATCCCTTATTTTGAATAGCTATAGTTTGAATTTTGCAGTGAACAAAGTACAGTAAATATAATCACTACTACTTAAGGTGGAGACTTGAATTCACATAATCTGCAGGCTGTCTTTTATTATAAGGAAAATAGCCATAAGGTACGAGTCCCAAGCCTTAAAGATTTTCTCTATTTTATTTATTTATTTATTTATTTATTTTTTTGTGAGAAAGATCAGCCCTGAGCTAACATCCATGCCAATCCTCCTCTTTTTGCTGAGGAAGACTGGCCCTGAGCTAACATCCGTGCCCATCTTCCTCCACTTTATGTGGGATGCCGCCACAGCATGGACTGACAAGTGGTGCATCAGTGCACACCCGGGATCCGAACCCGGGCCGCCAGCAGCGGAGCACATGCACTTAACCCACTACGCCACGGGGCCAGCCCCAGATTTTCTCTATTTTAGTAACTTCTTGATATTGAGCGCTCAGAAGTCTAGCACTCTGTTATCAAAAACTGTTATCAACCCAGAAGTCTACAGAGGATTGGAGACTGATCACTGATTGAAAGAACGAAAGAAAAGCTGAAGGATTGAATAAATTGTAATAAAGAAATGTTTTTTACAAGCAATGATAATTATAAAATAAGTCTAACCCCGCTGGCTCTGCAACTATAACAAAAAAATTTTAAATGGCACATTTACCCAAAGGAATCCATATCATGTAGTCATTAAAAATGTTTCTAAATACCTTAATCACAGGACAATGCTCATAATGTGTTAAAGGAAAAAAGCCTGACTACAAAATAAGTACATTATCTCTATCAAATATATACACACACAGAAAATAGAACTGGACTTATATACACCAACATGTTTATGGTGGTAAACCGTGGGTAAAGAAGTCATTTTAATTTTTTCTATTCTGCAATTTCTTTTTTTTCAAAAATGAGCAACATATGTTGCTTACGTAATAAAATTACAGTAAGTGAAGGTAATATGAAAAGAAGGAAATATGGCAAAAAAGAGAGTAGTGAATCTCAGAAAGAGCTAAGGGAGGTAAACAGTGATAGGATGAGAAGGGAGATGAGAGAGGGAAGCAAGATATTACAAAGGTAAAGAGCATAAGACTGATTCAGACAGCATGGGTTTGGAACTGAGTTTTATTATTCCTTGCCAAACCTTACATGTATCCTGGAATTGTGAGGTCCAAAACTGAAATGGGATTATATATAGGAAAACATTTGTAAACCTCGAGTTCTGTACAAAGGTAACTTATTCCCAGCAGCAAGTGAAGATGAAGAAAGATGGGCAGAAACCCTACAGAAATCTTTAGTGCTGGGGTAAGCTAAGCCTACTGATTTCATTGCTAGATAGGGGGTTGAATATGTCAAGTGAAGGCAAAATCAATTAAATACTATATTATCATTGACGATTTATAGTCTCATCATGTGTATTGTAAAAGAGAACTTAAACTCTTAATTCATACTTAAACTCTGGGCAGAACAATGGGTTAAGCAGAGAATTAAAGGCAGTAAAGTAAATTGCAGATTTAGCAAAGTAGACTTTTGTTTTTAATACTAGAGCATGGAATGTGTGAGACAACGTTATGTAAAATGAAGACAATGATTTGGTGGTACTAAATTATGACCAGTCTTGGATGACTTTTTTGCTACAATGCATGGAGTAGTACCTTAGCCTGTACTGGGTGCTAAAGAAGATAGACCTTGAATAAAATGGTGAATGATATATAAGTCTGAAATTTATTCTGGAGACAGAAAGCAATGTTTTCAAAGTTGGAATTAAAAAAAATTAACCAGTAGCAGAGGGATAGCCAGCCCTGGTGGTCTAGTGGTTAAGATTCTGCGTTCTCACCTCGGAGGCCCACGTTCCTGTCCCAGTCAGGGACCCACACCACTCGTCTGTCAGTTGTCATACTGTGGCGGCTGCATATTGCTGAAAGCTATGCCACCGGGATTTCAAATACCAGCAGGGTCACCTGTGGTGGACAATGTGTCAACAGAGCTTCCAGACTAAGACAGACTAGAAAGAAGGACCTGGTCACTTCTGAAAAATTGGCCATGAAAACCCTGATGAATAGCAGGGGTGCGTTGTCTGATATAGTGCCGGAAGGCGAGAGGATGGTGCAAGAAGACAGGGCAGGGTCCCGCTCTGCTGTCCACAGGGTCACTAGGAGTCAGGAATCCACTCCAGGGGCCGGCCAGTGGCTTAGCGGTTAAGTGCGTGCGCTCTGCTACTGGTGGCCCGGGTTCAGGCCCCGGGCGTGAACTGCTGCACCGCTTGTCCGGCCATGCTGAGGCCGCGTCCCACATACAGCAACTAGAAGAATGTACAGCTATGACATACAACTATCTACTTGGGCTTTGGGGAGAAAAAGGGGGAAAAAAGGAGAAGGATTGGCAATAGATGTTAGCTCAGAGTCGGTCTTCCTCAGCAAAAACAGGAGGATTGGCATGGATGTTAGCTCAGGGCTGATCTTACTCACAAAAAAAAAAAAAAAAAAGGAATCCACACCATGGCACTAACACAAAAAGCAAAGGGATAGTTGGATGGAGTGGGGAAAGGGTGTAGGCAAGGAAATAAATTTGGAAGCACTGATCCAAAGCCCACCTGTGGCAAATGGATTTCATCAATGTTCCAGCCTACTGATAGTGTCTGCCTGTGAAGTGTGTTGAAAAAGATTGGGAGGTTACATCAAGTTTCAATAGGAAGGAGTGTGGTGATCTACTATCCAGGACTCAGAGCCAGACTCTAGATAGTACAGGTCTAAGAATGGATCTGAATGGTATTCTTTTTTTTTTTTTTTTTATTTTTTTTTTTTTTTTTTTTTCCCCAAAGCCCCAGTAGATAGGTGTATGTCATAGCTGCACATCCTTCTAGTTGCCGTATGTGGGACGCGGCCTCAGCATGGCTGGACAAGCGGTGTGTCGGTGCGCGCCCGGGATCTGAACCCGGGCCGCCAGCAGCGGAGCGCGTGCACTTAACCGCTAAGCCACAGGGCCGGCCCTGAATGGTATTCTGATGGCCAGAACAACTGAACTGATGGCACACTTTGATTTGCAGGATAAAGCAGTCAAATTTAATGAAGTTGGTAACACTAGTGAGGCTTTGCTTTTTTATTTAGGAGAGAAGGCTTTTCTATGTCCTTCTACCTACATCTCACTGGCCACCCTTAGACTCAAGGGAGGCTGGGAAATTGAGTATTTCATTTCTTAGTCTCAATAGTAGAGGAATATAATAGATAAGGTAGTGGGGATGGATATGAGTGAACCAACCTACAATATCTGCCATGTTCTATAAGCCCTCACACTGTTTGATGAACCACAATGGCACTCTGTGTCCCCGGGAATCAGTGTTAGTTCAGAACCAGTGTCCAGGGGCCAGCCCCGTGGCATAGCGGTTAAGTGCGTGTGCTCTGCTGCTGGCAGCCTGGGTTCGGATCCCTGGCATGCGCCAATGCACCGCTTGTAAAGCCATGCTGTGGTGGCATCCCATATAAAGAAGTGGAAGAAGGTGGGCACAGATGTTAGCCCAGGGCCGGTCTTCTTCAGCAAAAAAAGAGGAGGATTGGCATGGATGTTAGCTCAGGGCTGATCTTCCTCACACACACAAAAAAAAACAA